CCTGATCCTCTATATGAACCAGTCTCAGTGTAGTCCTGATCCTCTATCAGACCTCCATCAGTAAAGAGACCATCAGAGAGAAGATGGTCTGTTTCTATAGAGTTATTCTTGATGCTCGTCATCGGAGCCACCGGGTCGGATTCTGGTGAAACCAGATGAACTCATGCAGGTTCACCAGAACCTCCTTCAGCTCAGACTCCAGCAGAGACCGGTCCACCGTGGACAGACCCAGATCCTCCAGCAGAGACCGGTCCACCGAGGACAGACCCAGATCCTCTAGCAGAGACCGGTCCACCGAGGACAGACCCAGATCCTCCAGCAGAGACCGGTCCACCGTGGACAGACCCAGATCCTCCAGCAGAGACCGGTCCACCGAGGACAGACCCAGATCCTCCGGCAGAGACCGGTCCACCGTGGACAGACCCAGATCCTCCGGCAGAGACCGGTCCACCGAGGACAGACCCAGATCCTCCAGCAGAGACCGGTCCACCGAGGACAGACCCAGATCCGGAGCTCCGGAGGGAGGAGGAGAGCTCAGCTCCCAGCAGCAGCAGCGTCTCCTCCTCCTCCTCCTCCTCCTCCTCCTCCAGGAGCAGAGCTTCTCCTCTCTGCTGGAGACCCAGGACGTATTGCTGGACCCGCTGGAGGGAAGGGAGGCACGGGAGAACCAGAACCAGGACTGAGAGGAGCAGACTGTCAGACCCTGCTGCAGTAAGATGAGAGGTTGTCTAAAGGGACTCTGGTGCTCAGAGACACTACCACGTTAGTCCACAGGGGGCGACAGAAACAACAGGAAGTAAAGTTCCTCGTAGTAACTTTGAGTAATATTTAAAATGCAGGACTTTTACAATATTTCTACGCTGTAGTTTTACTTTCTTTCACTTAAGTAAAATATTTGGGTACTTCTTCTACCTTCTACTTTAATAAGTCAACTACATATTTCATCAACATTTTTTATCTTCAGCTCGTCAGGTCGTTTTATTTAATTTGTTATGCAACAAAACCATCATGGTTCAATCAACAGAGAGTTTATTTTTTTACTTTTTGTTACGAACATTGAAGAGAAACGTTAAACATGATGAAGAACACATGAAGGCTTCAGTGATCGTTACTAAAGTAGTGAGTCATAATGTATGTTATATTTCTGTCAGTGTATTGTCGTGATTGTTATTCTGGATTTGGTGAGAGGCACATAATGACCTTTTAAGGACCCAGAAAACAAAGAAGTAGTCCTGGATCACACGTTGTCGTCCTCGGGTCGACTCACAATGCTCTTCTGTTGAAATGGATTCATGCACATCGAGTTCAAACAGGTTTTCCAGAGGTCAGATCCAACATGAACACTTGTGATCCTCAGGAGGATCTGGGATCGTACATCCATTTACAAAGTTCCTTCAGTTAAGCAGCTTCTTCCCTGTGAACGTCTGCCCCCTGGTGGCCTGGAGAGACACAACAGCACGGACTCTCTGAGTGTACGGAGGCTTTAGAGGGTCATCAAAGTGAGTCACATGAGACACCACGTGTAGACTGTACCTTGCAGGAGGAAGAGATGCTGCTGATGTACAACGTCAGACTCAACAGCAGGAGAACCAGAGCGAAGATGAAAACTGGTGGAAACGCTGAAACTGATCCAGAATCATTAGAACAGATCCAAGATTAGAGATCCTGAACCTTTTAAAACTGGTAAACTACAAACACTTTGACATGAAGTTTGGAAGTTCTTAGAAGATAAAAGTAACATGATCTACTCTGTGTAGTGGTGTTGGACATAAACCAGACCTCTACAGCTGGTCCACAGACCTCTACAGCTGGTCCACAGACCTCTATGCAGATTTTAATGTTATGTAATGACCTGGTCATGAGATATATGGGTGTTCGGAGCACCAGTTATATATCTATGATATATATATATATACATACAGTATATATACATACATATATATATAATCCCTCCAGCGTGTTCTGGGTCCATCCCAGGGGCTCTTACCAGTTGGACCTGCGCAAAATACCTCAACGGTAAAGTGTCCGGGGAGATCCTGATGTTGAACCACCTCAGCTGGCCTCTTTTAAGGTGCATGAACAGCCCGGACTCCCTACGAAAGGAAGCTCATTTCAGTGGCCTGTATCCACAATCTGTGATCCTTCAGTCACTACCCAAAGCTCAGGACCAGAGCTGAGGGTCTGAACGTAGATGGAGCGGTAAAGCGCCCGTCTCTCACTGGTGAGCAAGACCGCCGAGATACTTGAACTCGCCCCGCTTGGGGCAGAGACTCGGTCCCAAATGCCCCGGGTAGAAAATATAACGTTTTAAAACTTTGGCTTCTTTTCTTTGACAAAGAACAGGTTTTGAAGAGAAGCGTTAAGAAACATTGATATGGTGTTATGTCAATGCTGGTCTCAAAATAAATGAAATGATAAGAAACCCAAACACAACAGGAAATCAAACTGCAAGTGTTCACGTTGGTGGACTGGAACATAATCCCAGTTAAACTAGAATTGACCTCTTTGACTCAGCTTCATATTCTCCACAGTGAGAGACAGAGGACGGCTCTCAGACGGAAGTTTTGATTAAAAATGTAGAGGTGATAAACACAGCTGTAGCTTCCTTGGTGGGCGGGCTCTGCAGCAGGAAACAGGAAGCTGGCAGAGTGATTGACAGCTGGCTGGGTGTAGTTGTGTGCTGAGTTGGAGGAGGTGAAGCTGAGCTGAAAGGAGCCTCCTGGGTACTGTGGCTGGATGGAGCAGCAGATGGTGAAGGTGGAGCGTCTGATCACCGGAGCCCCCTGCTGCTGGGCCTCGGAGACCCCGTCCATGGAGGAGGACACGGTGATGATTGGCTGAACCAGCAGGTCTGTAAACACAGAGCAGGAAAATACGGTTGGCTTAAGCAGGTAACTCTCATGCTGGAAGATATCTGTAATGAAGCTGAAGGTTCATACACAAGTCACATTAAGCACGAAGGTGAAAAGAACCAGGCTCCTCCAGGTGTGTCAGGAGTCTATGGGAGGTTCAGGAACAGGCCCACTTCTCTGACCTTTAGAATGAGATTGTCTTGGAAACGTCACAGATGTGCTTACCTTTGGAGCAGGTGAGGCCCACGGAGTAGGTATGGATATGTGGTATTAAACAATTCCTCAGAGAAAATCCACAAGTTATACAGTCATGTGAAATCCTCCACACAGGTCTCAGTGAGGACTCTATTCTCCATCCTACAGAAACAGCAGAGCCACAGTCCAGATCTCTGCAGGCAACATCTGCTGTCTTCAGGCTCCACTTAAAGCCATCTACTGGTCTCCAGTCTCCCTGATGTTTCACCTCCAGTGTTCCTGCACAGCGACTGGCTCCTCCCACCAACCTGACAGCTTCTCAACAGAAACAAGACCAGGTTTTTGCAAATTGCGCAACTCTAACGCTAGCAGCCTCGTGGGGAGGGGGGGGGAGCTGCGCTCATGTGATTGGTTGAAAATGAGAATGTTGAAAAAAACGCATTTGCGAATCCAGCGACATCAGGAGAGTCTCAAAAACCCACAAAGAAATGTGGAGCGATCCACAAACAAATAGAAAAGTCCACACAGAAATACATACAAATGCAGACAAATCTTTGTGATTTTGTTTTTACATTTATATAAATGGTCATTTATTTGTGTGTGCATTGAAATGTGTTTGTGAGTTGTGGTTGGCTGGGTGTGTCTCTGGAGGAGGGGAATCCATCAGGACTTCCATGTGTTGGCCCAGTACAACCACCCCACATGGCCTTGGACGTTGCTCAGTGGTGGAAGAAGTATTCACATCCATTACTGCAGTAGAAGTACTAATAGTACACTGGGAAAATACTCTGGTACTATTAGATATTCTATTATTAGATTATTAGTACTTGTAATGATACCTGCTCTGACTGTGGCTGGTCGAGCTGCAGCTCATGGAACTATGAACTCATGATTCTTGTCTCTATGAATTGATTGTTTGGTTTGTAAGAAATTGTGAAAATAGTGAGAAATGATGTCACAAAGAGATGAAACTGTCCCCTTCACTGTGTTCAGTCCAAAGCTCAAGATTATTACTAATGAATTAACACTATTAACATTATAACTAATTAACATTATTAACATCATTACATATGGAACCAGCTCATTTGTTTGACAGAAAAAATGACTTCAACCATGAAAATAGTTCCACGTTGTTAATGTGAAGATGTTGCTCATTGAATCATTGCTGCTGCCGTTTATATTCATGATGAGTTCTACGGGTTGTGTTGTTTCATGTTCTCTTGTGTTGCAGATGAGCTGCAACTGCATTTTGTTCTGCATCCATTCGTTGCATAATGACAATAAAAGATCCTTCAATCCCTGAATTAACGGCCAGTTGAAGAAGCAGTTCCAGGAACTCCTCAACCGTGACATCACAATCGAACCAGACCATTACAGCCACGTTCTCCACAGTCCCATCGTAGAGGAGATGTGGGGAACCTCCCACCATGACAGAGGTTCAAGACGCCATCAGGGGCTTTACATTTTCCAACTCCCCCCTATTTTGGAGGAAAACCGCCTAAAATGACATACCCAAATTAAAATGGCTGTAGCTTCTGAACCACTCTGACTATATGCATCAATGAGGTCTTTCTAGAAAGAAAACCCCCTAAAGTTCCTTGTGGAAGTGTCAGAAAACCTGTAGGTCATACAGAAACAGAGCAGTGGGCCTTTGGAGTCAGTAAGAATTGAAGATTTTTGTCCGCCTAAAATAAAAAGTATCTTTCAGTATAAATAACTGCCTGTGGCTGTATCTGTACAGGTAAAGGACAGTATAGGGCTGTAACTACACTATCAGTGAACAACTGCCTCAAATGTGAAGAAGATTGGACAAAGTATGACCATTCTA